GAGTAAAGTATCTCTGTGGCATCGTTCTTGAAAGCCAAGCAGCTTTTCGTGAAGATGCAAGCTAGGAGAAAGCCATAGAAGTGGATGGCAGGGAGAAGCATGGTCGTTTCAGCCTCTGTCTGACAGAGCTGGATGAAGCCTTCTGCTTCTTCTCAGTAACTCTGAAATTGCTCGTGAAGGTTTCCTTTATATATTCGGAGAGGCTTGGCATTCATTCAGGTGTAAAGTTGTGGATAGCTTCAGAATGAAAACCCGCAAAAGGGGTGGGATCCCTACATGAGCCTGCGAAGGCCTTGTACCAATAGGAGAGGAGGCTGCAGTAAAGGAGGAGTTAGATGCACTAACTGCAGGATTCCTGTCTGGGGCTGCTGAAGTATCGAAGGCTCTCGGGCAGCACAGGAGCGCTCGGGCGCAGCCCCAGCGGCGGCCGGCTCTGCCCGGCACTCCTCTGTGGGGCGGCTACGCGGCGACACAAGGAGTCGCCCTCGCTCCCGCTGCGCGGAGTTACGACTCCTTCTCCAATGGCACTTTCGGAAAACTTGCCGGCTGCAAAAAGTTTCTACAGCTTAAAGAAGACTGCTACTTAGACAAATACTGTCTGCAATATACTGAGATCACTTAAAAAAAATATTGTGAATAATTTAAAGCTGCCTCTAGATGCTTTAAATTATGCAGCTTTGATCAACAAGGAGCACTGCTAGAAAAACTACTTGTTTTAGGGGAATATTCTGTCCCTGGTGTGCAGAGTTACTAGGATGAGTTTCTGTATCAGCACACATAAAAAGTATCTCCTCTAGGCTCCTTAGTACAAACATATCCATATTCATAGCCCCTCACTATGCTCATTCACCAGACTAGTCTTTTTTAGTTTTGTACATTGCCTAGAGCATTTTTATATTTTTAATGTACTATTTCGTGTGATAAAGAAAACAAAGACAAAAGGATAATCCTTGTTTTGGCATACTATTTCACTCTGTCACGTACTTATTTGATTTTACATAAAATTACATGGCCCAAATCCAAATGCTAGTGTAAACTGAGATACTATCAGTAGGCCAATGAATGTCTGCATCACAATGAATGTTCTATAGATTTTAATTATAAATAAAACAACAGTGATCAACACTGGAAGCTATAGTGTTCTAATTAAAAAGAAACCTTTTAGAAGGAAACCTGCTTCTTGAGGAAAAGCACAACCATGCAAGAGGTCACATTATGTAAAGGTTAGACTCTAATCTCATTTACACTCTGAATTGATGTCTATAGTCATCCTGGATTTTATTTGCTGTAATGAAAGCACAAGTGGAACACAGGTCAGTTACTTCTACCCTCAGAATCAAAATCTGTCATTCAGAGAAGATACCATTGTTTCATCCTAGTCACATTTGTTTGTATCAGCCACACTTTGCTCTTACTTCACTAAGAAAGTTACCCTGGATTTCAGCAG